TTCTATTGTTTGCTTATTTCTTTTTTGAGATCCATAATTCAAATGAATAATATTGTCTCTATTTATTTAGAGTTATATATGTTCAAGAATCATGTTGTATTAGTTTACGATCAATAAAATGTTACTGAATTCCTCTATAGATCATATGCAACTTTCTAAGTGCTAATTGGGTGATAAATTGTGGTCATAATTGGAGACAGAAGAATTGTATGCTTCTTCTTGTCTCATTACTTTTGTTGACATTGAAATTTTGTCAGACCTTTGGTGAACAAACATTTATGTTTTTTCGTGAATATCTGCAATATATGATATGGTTAGTGAGCTCAACCACATCTCTGAGAGAACGGTTAATCTCACTCTAATGCAAGTTAGAATTGTATACGAATATTGGTAAACTAAGAAAGAGTTAGCTTTGTGATATTTTTACATGGGATTGAGATGACCAAAGATGTATATAGGGGAATGAAGTGGTAGTAGTTAGTGGAGATGTCATATCAATTATCATGACTATATCATGTCTGCTGCTACGTTTCTGGAAATCCGGACCTGTCGGGACCTGTCAAACGATGGTGAATTCAACATATCTTATGTTAAAGTCGTGTGTTAACTACTCAAATGCTATTACTATTTATGTTAATTCAAAGCAAACCTAATTTAACTTTGCAGATTCAGATTGGGAAACTGCATTTAAGGTTATGAAAATTTTGAAACATTTCTATAAGGCAACCAAAAATTGTTCAGTTGTTTATTACCCAACAAGTTGTTTGGTACTTACACTACTAGTAGACATTGGTAAACAATTTTCGAGTTACAAGTACGACGTGTTTTTTTATTGAAATTTTTTATGCGATGGAAGAAGATTTTCAAAAATATTAAGAATTACATGCCACTAATTTTTTTGGTGGCAGCTGTGATGGATCCAATAGTTTAATTATTTGGAGTTCATTATGCAATGGAAAAACTTTCAGAAAGTTTAAGTTTTAATATAAATATTACAAATCATGAATTGGAATGTTTTATTAATGAATTGTATAATTCCTATTTACGAAAATATGGAAAATGATGCAAGTGTTTGTTCATCTATGAGCTCTGCGACACATTCTAAAGGTAAATCTTTTTTTTTTTTTTTAATTTCAAGATAGCTAAGAAACGTCACAGTGTGTATAATTGTAATATTGGTGCGAACACTACACTACACTTGTTGAATTAGAAAGATATTATCAATTTGATCACTACAATTTAATTCCGGAGGATGAAGTATTAGATTTAGGCTATGTTTGATATGCATTAAATTCCTTAGAACTTGGAATTTCTTTTCCATTTCCCACCAAATGTGTTGTTTGATGTGCCAAAAATTGCTTGGAAAATGTTCTCTCTCCCCAAGGCTCACGCGCCTATTTTCATGGTTTTTAGGGAAAATCAATTCCCGCCAATTTGGTGGGATTTGATTTTTCAGTTGACTGCACGTATTTTTTTTTTCTTTTTTTTTTTTTAGTAATGGAAACAAATTTCATAACCAAGTGTAAAAAAAAAAATATTCACTTTCATGGACAATTTTGATGCAAACGAAGGCCAAACGAACACTAAATTTTGATTAAAAAAATGATTTTTTAGGAAACATTTTTTTTTGTTTTTTTTTTTTTTTATAATCAAGTGTGGAAAAAATTACCACTTTAATGGACAATTTTGATGCAAACGAAGGTCAAACAAACACAAAATTTAAAAATTTTCTAGGTGTAAAATTATACCAATCGAACATACTTGATTAACAATTCCCTAGAAAACAATTTCTAGGCAATTATTTTTCCTGAAATTCATTTTCTTTCCACCCATTTTCCACCCTCGCAATCAAACGGACCCTTAGATATCTTAAATTGGTTGAAAACAAATGAAAGATCGTATCCAATAATATAAAAAATGGCACGAGATCTACTGAAAGTTACGATATCAATAGTAGCATCCGAGTATGCTTTTAGTTCAAGTGGTAGGGTATTGTATGAAAGAAGATCAAGATTCAAGGAAGACATTTTGGAAGTTCTTATATGCGTGAAAGATGGGATATTCGCAGTTAAGAGAATACAAGATAAAATGATTAACAACATTACTAAAGACTTCAAAAACCTCGCAAAAGAAGTTGTAGAAGATTAATCATTTAGTTGTTATAGTCTAGACTAACATAATTGACTAACAGAAATAAGATTCAAAGTAAGACTAGGAATGTAATAAACATCCGGAAGAGACAAACAAGATGTAACAATTGAACCAACGCCTACTAATGGCATTGGAGTGCCATCAGCCGTCACAATAGACACAGACGAATCGAAAGAGAAAAAAAAGCAAATGATGATAGATTATGTGACATATGATGAGAGGCGCTAGAATCTAAAACCCATAAGGAGGGTGATATACCCAAAGTACTAGAAAACGACAAACCTATATAAGAGGAAGCAAACATGGCATGTGGTTGTGAGGCAAGAAACTTTTGAAACTGCTCAAACACATACGGATCTAGCGATGGTGCAGGCACTGCATTATTGGGCTGGGGTAATTGATTACCAAATTTCCATGAAGGAACCTGAGATGGTAGTGGTGGCTGTTGAGGTTGTCATCGTTGTTGCTACTGCTACTACTGGGGTTGCGGTGGTTTAACTTTATTCAACAGTAACGGGCTCTGAGCCTTCCAGTAGCCCTTTTTCTTATAGAAAGCACATTCATCAGGAGAAACTTTCAAATTTGACCTATTTTGTTATTCAGGGGTCTTTGAGGCACTGCGAAAACAGATGGAGTAGTTGGGACAGTCCCATTGTTTGCCTGAGACTTAAGATGTATCTCTTCAGCTAAAAGTTCATTGACCACTGAATCAACAGAAGGGAGTGGACTACGATGCAAAATTGTCCCACATAATCCCTCAAAACATGATGTAGGGCCACATAATTCAACGGACTCTATAAGTGCTAACTGATCCCATAATTCTGACATGGCAGAATAAAATTCTTGAATACTCAAATCCTTCTGCTGAAGAGCACGAATATCTATCTCCAACTGATATTGTCTTGCAAAGTTAGACTGCATGTATAGTTTTGCCAGATGATCTCAAACCTCTTTGGCAGTTTCATACTTTGTCAACTGAGTACCTATAGAGTGCGTAACAGAATTATTGATCCAAGTGATAATCTTCGAATTATCAGCCTCCCAAACATCCAACGATTCTGCATAATTAGAAGCCTTATCTGTAGGTTTAATTCTTGTACCCGTAACATAACCCCACATAGATTTGCTCCTCAAAAAATTCTTCATAACATAACTCCAATACGAATAATTCTTTTCATCTAATTGCACATTAATCGATTGGAGAGATTCATCTTTACGACCAGCCACGATGATGAAAAAGTAAAGAAGACTAACAAAAAATCATCAAACAATAAACGAAATCAAACTGAGATGCAAAATAAAACCAGAATCCAAGCAATAAGCGCGGAAGCGAGCAAACGGTAGCGAAAGCGATGCAGAAAAGAAAACGATTGTACGGATGCACCCAAAAAAAAAATTAGTTCGATCCAAGAAAGCTGTGGCTAAGAATAATCTTTCTTCAATAAGATGAACAAAATCTATGAAGGAATGGTGGCTCTGATACCACGTTGAAATAAAGAAAACTAGGACTTCTTATTCCAATAAAACTTAATAATGAAATTACATAATAAATGTGTTTATATAGACTCGATAGAAAATACTGAAAATAGGAAACCTACCAATAATAGGAAACAAGTAAATAAATAATAAAATAATCTAACAGATGTAGCAACTCTGTTACTGAGTGAATGTTGATATTTTCCCCATGTTCACAATAGTTTATTAAACATTAAGTTCCTGTTTGACAACCATTATTTCAAAACTCTTTTTTCTACATATTCATTTTCAACCACACATTCACATAATAAAAATATTTTGTACGTAAACTCAAAATTTTTTCCTACTTTTTAACCACACATTCTCCAAAAAATGGCTATTCAAAACTCCATTTTACCCCCAAATAATAGTTGTCAAACAGGGACTAATAGTGTGTTGCAGTTGTCGCATGGATACATAAAAGCTTTTTGTTTTTCCTTGTCTGGTTTTTCTTCCCTTCTAAAAATGCAGGCAATCATAGAGAGAATGGGGGAATTGGAAAAGCAGGAATAGGGTTTCATTGGTGGACAATAGCAATCTTTTTGAGCCATTCATCAACCCCGCTAGGAGAACACAAAAAAGCCACCTGCTGTGATGATTTTCGTCTGATCTGTACTGCTTGCTTCTTACTTCTTTCGCACTCGACAAGGAGTCTTGTTTACAATCTCGGAAATGCTTATGTTTGTAAATTTCTTTGGTTTTTTGTTAAAGATAATTTGTCGAACCTAAGCAAATGATATTTGGCTCTCGTATATACCCGTTATCTATGCCTACAAATGCTGATGCTCATCTTTTAAGTGATGTGATTGAGAATAATATAAAGTACAAAATTGTAAAGGCTGAATTAGTTCGAGAACTATTTAGTATTGTTTGTTCGTTGTCATCATATACATCAGACAGCTCGGCAAAAGGCTTGTTTGTTAAAGATTTTTTTTTTTTAAATCATTTTTCTTTAGATACATTTTCAACCTTGCGTTTTAAGAAATCTACAACTTTTTCATATTTTTTAACCATAAAAGTTAAAATCATATGGTGAGGTACAAGCAGGCCCGGCCCTGAGGCGAGGCAAGTGAGGCCGCCGCCTCAGGCCCAATTCTGGAGGGGGCCTCAAAATTTGGCCCAAAATTTTTTTTTATTTATAACAAACTAGGCCCAACTTGGAGGCCCAATTGTAACCTAAGTCTACCGTCTACCAATTCACAGCCCAGACCTTCCCTTCCCTTCCCGCTCTCAATCTGAAACTCTCCAAGAGACCAAGACTCCAACTCCGACACACTCCGACTCCGACTCCAAGTCTCCAACTCTCCAATCCACCACCAATCGTTTGTTAAACTTCAAGCCGACGCCTGCGCCGTCTCCCACTCTTCTTCTTCTTCCTTCGTTTTCGAGCTTCGAGTTCCGTCCGCGAGACTGCGATTGACTTGCTTCGTGCTGGTAGACGATTGACTGCTTCCTGCTGGCTGCTGGTAGTGGACTAGTGGTGTAGACGTGTAGTGTAGTCTCTCATCTCTGCCTCTCTGGGTCTGGGTCTGCGTCTGCGACTGCGTGGCCGCGTTCTGGAGTTCTGCTGGCTGCTGGTAAGTGGGCGGCGTGGGTGATGGGCGTGTAGGCGTGTAGCTTAGCTGCTTAGACTTAGACAGTTAGACAGTTAGACCTTTCACCTTAGTATCAGTTTTATGGCTTTTTGTTTCATTGTATAATTTCAGTTCGTGGCTTTTGTGAATTCATTGTGATTTGTCCAATTTCAAATTTGGGGATTTTGTGATTTGTCTTATTTCGATTTTGAGCTGCTTGTCTAATTTCAATTTTGTGGCTTCTGTTATTATGTGAATGATTCAATTTTGATTGTCAGTGATTCTACCATTCAATTCTGCCATTGCCAGTGATTCTGCAATTTCAACTTTGAATCTGACTTAGCTTTCCAGTTATCTTATCAGCCATTCAATTGTGAATATGTTGTTTATATGTGAATGATTTGTGAATGATTCAATTTCAGGCTTGTGAGAACTGAGATGCAACGCTGGATGCTGGAATAGGGCGTGATTCCACAATTTTCGTGGATTTTCTACTTCTCAAGTAAGCAATGGCTTGCTCTAACTTGATATTGAAAATGTTTGAAGCCTTGTCGGCTTATATAATTGTGGCCTTGTCGGCTTATATAATTGTGGCCTTGTCGGCTTGTATGAATGTTCATTGTAGCGTGTAAGATCAATTGCACAGGCGCACGTTGTCACTGTATTGAATACTTTAATTGTGAGATGATTGAGATATTTTCTAATTGTCTTTTAGGCTAAGTATTGGGCATTAGATATTTGAACATACGTCATGCCTCCTAAATATGAGTCCGGAGCTATGAAGAGAAAAAGGAAACGAAATGAACAGTTGTTGACTCAAAGTCAAGCAGGCGCTATGAACAAGTACTTTAAAAGCAGCAATGTGAATGAGTTGAATGAGGATGAGGATAAAGAAGTGACAAAACCTTCTTGTGTTAATGAAGTAGATGAGAAGGAAGAAGAGGGCTCATTTTCTTTGAATGTGAATGAAGTGGATGATAAGGAAGAAGAGAGAAGATTTTCTTTGAATTTGGATGATCCTGGGAATTGGAAAAACATTGATCAGAGAACGATAGATTATTTAGTTGAAATGGGTCCGAAAAGAGTTGATGGCATTGTGTTTCCTAAAGATAGTGCAAACAGACATTTTGATTCTTCACAGTATATGCGATTACTACCGAATGGGCAAACAATTGATAGAAGATGGCTAGTGTATTCAGTATCTATGGACAAGATCTTCTGCTTTTGTTGCAAGTTGTTTAAAACACTAAATAATGCCATCAGAATCGGCCAACTGGGTAATGAAGGATTCAGAGATTGGCATAATTTGCATCGTTCTATTAAAAGTCATGAAGGGAATGAGGAGCATTTACGTTGCATGACGAGGTGGATTGAATTGGAGAATAGGCTTCGGTCGAAAACTACAATAGACAAAAGTCTTCAATTGGTGATAGACGAAGAAAGAGAACATTGGAGAAATGTATTAACCAGGATCATCGCTATCGTCAAGAGACTCGCAAAAAACAGCTTGCCATTTCGAGGAGATAATGAGAGGCTAGATGCTGAGAACAATGGCCTATTTTTACAAATGGTGGAAATGGTTAGTGAGTTTGATCCAATAATGCAAGAGCACGTTCGGCGGGCTAAAGCACGCGAGATTCAGTATACATATCTTGGCAAAACAATTCAAAATGAGTTGATACAGTTGTTGGCAAATGAGGTGAAAAGTTTAATTGTCAAGAAAATTCAGCATGCAAAATATTTCGCGGTTATACTTGATTGTACTCCAGATGCTAGTAACGATGAACAAATGTCTTTAGTAATACGATGTGTTGACGATACGACAAACTTACCTACAGTCGAAGAATATTGGCTTGAATTTTTGAAGGTAGATGACACAACAGGGCTTGGACTTGCAACTGAGCTTCAACAGGTTTTGACCAAACTTAATCTTGATGTTGATGATATTAGAGGGCAAGGGTATGACAACGGATCTAACATGAGCGGGAAGCACAAAGGTGTGCAAAGAAGAGTCCTTGAGGTGAATCCCCGAGCTTTCTATACTCCATGTGGCACTCATAGTCTGAATCTAGCATTGTGCGATATGGTGTATTGTTGTTCTAACGGTGTATCCGTTTTTGGAGTGATACAACGCATCTACACATTGTTCTCCGCTTCTACCAAACGGTGGAAACTTTTCAAAGATAATGTACAAGGCTTGACAGTGAAGCCATTGTCACAAACACGTTGGGAAAGTCATGTTGACAGTGTGAAGCCTGTAATGGAGCAAACTGCACAAATAAGAGATGCGTTACTTGAATTGGAAGTAAGTAACGAAGAGGCTAAAATAAGGAGTGAAGCAGGGTCGTTAGCAAAGAATGAGCTGTCTAGTTTTGAGTTCTTGCTTGCATTGATTATCTGGTACAGGTTGTTGCGTGCAGTCAATATTGTGAGTAAATTTCTTCAAACTGAAAATATGGACATTGATCATGCTATCGACCTCTTGCAAGGGCTTGTTTCATTTCTTGAAGAATATAGAGAAACTGGATTTGCTATTGCCATGGATGAAGCGACAAAGAAGGCAAACGAAATGGGAATTGAAGCTGTATTTCGAGAAAAACGTATAATTCGAAGAAAAAAACATTTTGATGAAAGCGAAAGTAATGAAATAAAGCAATCGGCTGAAGAATCTTTTAGAGTTGAATTCTTTGTTTTTGTAATAGATCAAGCTCTATCTTCTATGAGGACTCGATTTGAACAATTCAAACAATATGACGACACTTTTGGGTTTTTGTTCAATTTGAAGAGGTTAAGGGATGAAAGTCCTTCGAATTTGCTGAAATCTTGTATGAATCTTGAGAAACAATTAGAACATAATGGGCGTTCGGACATTAGTGGAGATGATTTATTTTCGGAATTATTAGTCCTGCGGTGCTATATACCAAATGCAGCAACGAGAGCAATTGAAGTGCTACGGTATTTGAAGACATTGGGTGCTTGTTTCCCAAATGCTTATATTGCTTATAAAATCTTGTTAACCATACCGGTTACAGTTGCATCTGCAGAAAGAAGTTTCTCCAAATTAAAGTTGATCAAGACTTACCTCCGATCAACTATGTCACAAGAAAGATTGAATGGATTGGCTATGCTATCAATAGAGAAAGATATGGTTGCACAATTAAATTATTCAGATTTGATTAATGTTTTTGCCTCTAAAACAGCGAGACGAATAGTATTTAACTGATTTTTTGAACTCTTGTCGGTTATGTTACTTTATAATATATATAAATCTTTTGTTCTTTATATTTGTTTGTTGTTCTACACGTCAGTATTAAGTTTGCAATACGTTGCATAATGCACGGTTGGATTTTGCGTTTACGTTGATCTCCGGAGGCCCAATTTTCGGACTTCGTCTCAGGCCCCGCCGATCACAGGACCGGCCCTGGGTACAAGGATGCAACGATGAATTTATACTACAAGAAATCTCTCAATACATAACGAAAAATATTTCTTGAGAACTAATAACCAAAATAATATTAGGATACTAGTAATGCCTACAGGAGAACAGAACACTGTGTTGAGATTATATGTGCCACAACCCAATATAAATCTCGAACTCTACATGCAATCCTCCATCATCCCGTAAACGCCTGCAAAATCGTAATATCTCGACTCGAAAATGTTCGTGGACGAAGTATCTTTTATCTACAAAGTTTTGCAAGTCACACTACGCCTGAGGGAAGACGTAGCACAAGGTGTCCACCAAGACGACTGCAAAAAAGCCAAAAAAAGGGGGAAAAAAAAAGACGTTTTTTTGTTATTGTTCTTTGAGATATTCGAAGTTTGGCTAAGCTTTAAATAAAGAAAAGTACTTCTTGGAAAGAGAACTAAGTTTTTGAAACCAAACTATAAAGATATGTAACTTCTAAAAAGCTAAAATATGTTGTCAAGAAAGGTTAATTAAAAGCAACTTTAAAGCTTAGCCAAACATACAAGAATCACTTCAACGCAATAAGCATACCTCTTGACATAGTAATAGCAGAAATCGGCCAGAATAAAAGTTTGGACGAGTTCAGAAAGGAGAACCAATGAAGGCCATATTCCATGACCTAATGCTGTTAACAAACGTCCCTCACTAGCAACCATCTGTATTCATGGAAAGTAATTCATATCCATATCGTCAATATTGAGTATGTCTAGCAAGGTGTTTATATACCGTGGTAAACGAGTGGTGGAGAAATTGGTAGTATTTGTGGATCTTACAAAATGTATATTTGAAAAATGGTTTGACCAGAACGTTTATAACCTAGAAACAATGAGCCAAACATAGGCTTCTATAGTTCTATTTAACATCTCATGATTGATATGCCCTTTTACTTGTCGTGACAAATTAGAAAACAAAATAGGTTCCTTATAAGGGAAGTACAAGAAATGTGTTAACCGAACAACTAAATAAACATGCTTATATGTTTCCTTGTTTACTTCAAAACTAACAACACTATGCCTTTGTTTGGCGTTACTACAAAGTTCCTCTCCAGTCAAAGTCAAACATTAATTTCAATCATACATTCATAACTATTTTCCTTTTATTTATTCAATCATTTTGTGGAACCCATTACTACATTTAAAATGTTACTAATAATTTTAATAGAACATAGCTACCTGGAGGATCCAATGGGCGCAACTTAGAAACCTTGCAACTCCTAGTGCAAAAACATAATGAGCGGTGAATGGCTCGACAATCTATCAAATATTAGACAATACAACACATAAAACGATTAGAATGAACCCGTGAAAATGTCATGAGGATCATTTACAAGCAGAATTAAGAAGTTGCAAGACCTATTTTACCTTTGTGTTCTGCATGAGGTGAAGTTGAGGGAGAACTGAAACAGCTTCCAAGTACACACAAAATGCCCAACAAATACGGTTAAAAGCATGATGCACTGTCGATGGATGGATAGCTAGAGATAACAAAGCGCAGGGTATAACCTACATCAACAAGGCAAAAAGAGAAGTATCACAAACTTTATAGACTTCTCAATTCTTTATGAAAATAACATGTTTGGCGGCACTTTTAAATAGGAAAAGTACTTATTTTTAATTTCATCAATAAAAGGCGCTTATTTTAGAGAAATAAGTAAAATTGGAAACAGGTTTGAATTCTTAAAATTGGAAGACTTACCGTATAATAAAGAGCAAAGGTGTCTTTGTCATCCATGTAAGTGGAATTTAATTTAAAGCGAATCATATAAATGACCCAACCAGTTGTTGCTAATGTAGCAAGATCGAGCAGCGTGTGTATATCATACTCCATAACAAAGCTGCAGTAGAGTCGAACAGCTAAAAATATAGCCGTTAGTTCTTGCGACTTGAGTGAAAGTCCTGATAGTTAAGAGAGAGCAGAATTATAAAATAGTGTAACTAAGAATGAAAGAGAAAAAGCAATAATGGAAGATTAATGAACATTATCCACCTTAATCCACTATAGTATCATCTACCTAACTATCCATTCTAATTTTATATTGAATTTTTTACACGATCTAATATGGTACACCAAGCACAACCTTAAATTATTTTAAGGATGCTACTTTGACTACTCATATTAACCCTTATAACTATTGTTAAAAGGCCTGCGATCTGTAATTTTTAAAATCCACCAAAAACAGAACATAAATAACCAACAATATACAGATCCACAAACCAGTATCTGCATGCATCTAAAATTTTCCCATCACCAAATCTACAAAATTTTCGTACCAGTGCAGGTTTTCTCTTGGGTGAGTTTGTAAATGAGAAGGGAAATGCCGATGGCATGAACGGCTTCGGCGGCGATGAAGAGGTTATCGTGGTCCTGAACGACGAGGCCGAGGAAGACAATGGTTGTCAAAACAGCGGCCACCGCCAGAAGCACCTTGGCTTTGGGTGGCTGCCGCTTCACCCACGTCGTCACAGCCTTGATCGGCTTCTTCGGGGAGCTCCGTATTATTCTCTCCCTCAAAACAGAACTCCGACTGGTTAGAGTTTCAATATCCATATTGATTTCTGTTTCAGTTTTTCCAGTTACAGATACGAACAGTTTGATTGATTTATGAAAAATTCACCCAAAAAAAGGGAAAAGAAAATAGAGAAAGATTGTGATGTAAATGAAATCAAGAAGTGTTTGAGGTGTAACAGTTTCAGAAAAAGAGGGAGTAGAGACAACTTGTTACTTGTATTTGGATTGGTTCGCGTGCATGTTACTCTACCAGATGTTATCTGTACTACTTATTTGACCTATTTTTCAAATTTTATTTTATTATCAAATTAATTTTTGATGATACATTTAACGGGATTCAAGACTTATATCAACTTTTCAATCATATATTTCATTAAATTTTATCAAATTTTATTAAAAGTTTGATTTTTGTTTCAATTAAACAGGGCATAATTAAGAAATAATATGCCGAGCTCCTCGACCTTTTACATAGTGTAGTACCAATCTTCAACTTTCAGGAGTTGTGTTGTGGATCTAATCTATTTAAATTGGGGAATCTGGATCTTACAAGCCGAAAATTGTCAATGGGGACATTGAATTCGTAAGGCGACTTTCAAATAAGTTAAAGCAAGAAAATAATTTTAAAAGGTTTGATAATTTTTCCCTCCAACTTTAAGGTCGCGTACAATTTTAGTGTTCTAATTGATAGTTTTCTATCACATAAGAACCTAAATTTTCATAAATTCGTTTGATAGTCGTAACACAACATGTGAAATGTTGAAGAGTCCAACCTTAGTTTTCCCATAATGAAAGTTGCACCAATTTTTTATGAACTTTTAAAACGAGTAAGTTAGAGTCTGTTCTCTTTATCGTTTTCAAACCATTTTCTATTTTCGATTTTTTAAAACAGTGAAAACGCGTTCTCTTTCTTATTTTCGAAAACGCGTTTTTGAAAACAAATTAAAAATTTATAAAAAAATTGTACGCGACCTTAAAGTTGGAGGGAAAATTTATCAAACCTTTTAAGTTATAATGAAGTCAAAATTTTCAAAACGCGTTTTGAGTATTTTCGATCACTTGAGAGAGAGAGACGAGAGAGAGAGGGGAGGGGAAAGTAAACGAGTTTTCCATTTTTTTAAATTTTTTTTTAAAACAATTTTTCAAAATGCTAAAAAGAACATATTTTCAACAATCTTAAAATGGACAATCAAAACACAAAACTCAAAACATAAAATTGAAATACAAAGAGAACAGCTCATTAGGTTTTAATTTTTAGTTATTGTTTTGGAATCAATTTCTAATAGCATACACCGTGTACATATTCATTAATTTGTCACATATTTTTCGAGCAAATATGTTTCAATCTAAATTTTTGGACACTCAATTAAAAGGTAAAATACATAATTTTAAAATGTCACACATGCGAGGATCGCATGCCAAATTGATCGAGATTTTGACCATTTTGGTAGATGGCAAGTTTTGAATATAACACTGTACACTACCATTTTTCTGATCAAATAGTAAAATAGTGACAAATGAGTATGGAGAATATCTATGGACTCAAGACAACTTTCTTTAAAGAACTTGAAGAAATAGATAGTTCAAGCATTTTTCATAATAAGCTCTTGTTTAGTTTAAATAAAAATCAGATTTTTATCATATTTTGATAAAAGTTGATGGAATGCGTGATTGTAAAAGTTTTGGGTTCCATAAAATGTGTAATTAAAATTAATTGTTGAGTTTAATCTAACCTTTTAGTTGAACCAAACAGGAGATAACCCATTTTGTTGTTAATTATATGAAAGGTTGAGGGCAAATTTATTCATTTTCAAAGAATGAGAACTAACTTATTACTGGACAATAAGTTGAAGAGTGGTAGAGCAAATATTCCTTTAATTAAAGTGAAAGAAAATCAAGGTTCTCGTGTCTGGGACGGGCCACGTTGCCTACGGGTTTGAGAAGTTTACGCTCTATATTTGACAACGTTTGTGGCTCAAAAATAAAAGAAGGTGGTAACTTAGGAGATATATAATTTTTAAAAGGTTGTATATTAATATGAGGTTAAGGTGTGGCCGGTAAAAAATAACTATATATTCTAATTAGTATTGTATAAATAGGTCAGATCTCTTGTGCTATACTAAAATTTTAAAACGTAATTTGGTAAGTGTGTTTTTACATACTTATTTTACTGTCAAAATATGAGCAATTGTTGATTAATATGTTGGAATATAACTTAATTCTATGTAATTTATGTTTTGCAGGACGAGTGATGAATGCAGTGGAAATAAGAAGAAACAAGTGAAAAATGACCAAAATGGAAGAAAGAGAAAGTTTAGAGACTAAAGTGTAAATACTCAAAAATGGTGTCGGGACTCACGATGAAGGTTCAAGAATGCTAAGGGTCGATTGGAAGTAATTAGAAGTCAAAAAGGAATGGAATGTGATCAAAATATTATCAAAATCAATTTTCAATTCGCACAAGATATATTCCAGATTTTTAGTTGAAGATTGAGACCCGTTTTTGGCATAGTAAAAGTCCGAATTAGAAATATATATTTCTAACAAAGTTTTAGCTCGTTGAGTTATCCTTCCAACGCATTTTGAATATTTTAAATCGAATATCGGAAGAGAAAGTTATAACCAAATTACTGACTGCTGTGCAAAGACAAAAAATTCGTGCGCAAAGACAACTTTCCTTATTCGATTAGAACTCTTTTGAAAATCAATTTGGACGTGATTTTCATCCAATTTTCGATCCCTACAAATACTTAACAGGAGAATACATAAGGAGGAGGCCCCCATATACCATTCTTCTCCTCTTTGGTTCAAAAAACTCATGGAGAACTAAAACATTTGGTGAAACTACGAACGAACTCGATTGGAATTGGTGATTTCATGTCTTTTATTCATTTAATTTGATCTTTTCATTGTCAAACAATACTAGAATTTAGATTTTCATTCTCTTGAATTTATATTGAAATCGGTTTAATATTTACAAGATTTTTCATGGATTCAGTCATGTTTTTTCCATTATTCAATCAAACTATTTATTGAGTTTCAATTTCAATTATTTATTNNATATATCTTCCGATTAGAGTGTAGGGATGAAAGCCTCTAATTGTGTTATAAAAATGAATAATTGATATGATTGATCCAATCCAATTGAGGGAATTCCGACGCTTCACTGCTTCGAATTATTGATTTTAATTTCACCTTTCAATATTGAATTTTATTACACATTTGAGAGAACAATTCAACATTTTTGATCTTTTAAATATTTTTCAACCTCCCTGTGGATACGACACCCCAAAGTTGTGCTACAACTACCGCGTTATTCTTTAAGCGTAATCATAACTACAATTTTATTGTAGAATCGATTATGACTTCTTCATAAGTAGATGTCATGTGTAAATCACGTAGGATTTAGGATGCCTCATATGAAATAGTTACTATGTCAAGACGAATCATGCGAGTGCCCTCACGATTAACAAGAGCTTCAATAGAATCAAACAAAGTGTCTCACCAAAGTATATGAGTGCTTCATGAGGTCCACATGGTCGCATGTCTCTTAAGAGGGAGAATCCTTGTCGGTGGCTTGCCTCGAACTATAAGCGTGTTCAGCTTGGAGCACCCCAACAATGTCCTTCGACTATATCCTAATCCTAGTTTTGAGGATGGATGGCAGACGGGGGCAGGGGCAACCACTTTAATGAACAAGGATGATGACAAAGGCATATAAGCTTTGTCGAGGAAACCAGGGTCAATCAATCGTTGGAAAGTAGAAAACCCCATTTGGAAATCTCAAAGAAAGGTAAAAACCCCAAAGAAGAAAGAAAAAGAGGAAGAAAACTTATGAAATATAGAGATACTGCAGAATGTAGCTCTAGGATCCCCTTTTTAGAACTTGCTAGAGACAACTAAGAGTGGACAATTTTTTCCAAAGGAAAAACTCTAATATGAGAATTGGTTGTTGGAAAATAGTAAATATGCAGACATATAGAAAAGTACAAGAAATCTGGACAGTTGAAGCTGAAAGGGAAGTGATGCTACCAAAACATGTACCTACTAGATCTCGAGCTGGATGTTTGAATACTGCGCTAACTGATCTTCAATACCTGAAAGAAAGACGTGGAGGTGTGTCCACGTCGCTCCTTCGATACTTAAGTCAGAGAGAGAATTAATGCGTAAGGCTATATCCTAAAAATTATGTAAAAGCGTACCTGAATATTGAGCATGAGTCCTGTATTTATAGATGTTTGTGATGGAGTTTGAAAGGATCCAACCATCTATAGTCCTTATCCCTATCATGTAAAGTGTTTTTGTATATTGGAAGTGCTTTGTGTGAGTTTGAATCAAACCGTGATAGGTAAGTTTTTTGGATGAGGGTAAAAGTTATGAAGAGTTATAATCAAAGTAGAATTAATGTTTTTAGAAGGTGTGAGAAAATGTTCGTTCTTCCGAAATATGGCTCGATCTCCTAAGGCCTGACCTCGATATGTAGCCCGATCTTAGTTTTTGCATTATCAAGGGAGGATGAGCTTGGGCTAAACAGTATTTGTAAACATTAAGAAGCAACTGATCAAATACAAATGGAAGGTTTAAATTTGCTAATTACTTCTTGTCGACATAGGGTCTCGTCCTATGGGGCACAAGGTGAGACATGCGTACAATCTTGACCTGATCATTTTTCATGTCCTCATACTTCCAGTGCCCATGGGTTCATCCATGTATCCCACTCAATCCCCACTATAATTTTATAAGTTCGAACCCTGACACGAACATTAGATTTGAACTTGGGAAACTATTGTTGTGTCTTCATTATACAAGGCATATACCATAGAAGAATTTCATACAAGTAAATTGGTTCGGTGAGCAAGATATTAGGAGAGTTAGTATATTGAAAAATGTGTATGTGCATCATTAAGCGAATCATAAAGCAAAGTCCAAACCAACATTAATGTTATGCTCAAACTTGACGGAATATTGTTATATGCTCCCCACATGTGGATGTTGTGTTTAAACTATGTAGGAGTAAGGACGATATATAGAGGTGTTGCACA